TACCTGTTCTTACAGGGCAGGGTACGTGCTTTATGCCGCAAAACATTCAACTCGGCCGTCGGTAGCTTTGGCTCGTGCTGGAAATGGCAAAACTTTCCATTTTCACACTTCCCATGGAGATACCTGCGCGTTTTGTTAGCATTGCACATGCGGCCGGCGTGTTATGTCGCGTCTAGTACATACCAATTGTTACACAAATTCTTGCGCAGCTTCTTCATTCGCGTATCGAGCGAAATGACGGCAGCGGTGTCTTTTGGAGGAAGCGCTTCGTCCAGTCTTTGCTCCGCTTTGTTGTAATAAGCATATTTCTTCTTAGTATTCTTCTTATTATTAGGCGCGATCGAGACACTGCCCTTTGGGGGAGCGCCGGTTTTGCCCACAGTGGCTACGAAATAAATGTCAGCACTGTCGTTTCTCTTTCACAAGAGTACCGTGTGATGCTTGCATGCTTTAGAAAACTCAAGGATGGAGTGCGAAGCGTATGCAGCGTGTTTGCATGAAGTCACTTACCCCAAGATGGGTCTCTATTTGACTCGTCAGGCTCCACGACCGCTGTTGAAGCTACGCTAGGCGCAGGTGAAGCCACAGATGCTCTTGAAGTAACAGAAGGCGAGCTAATGGAGTTGGTAGTAATTGGGCGAACAACGGGTTGTACTGGGGGCTGTACTGGGGACTGTGATGGTGCCTGATTAGCAACATTGACAGGCCGCGGATTTTCAGGCAACTGCTCCGCTCTAAAGACGACATCGAAGCGAGTGCGTCTGAAGTTGGTCAACGCATTGAAGCCTGAGTATGCTGGGGTAGTCTCGAGAAGGGTAATGCGGCTAGCTTTGAGCAAGTTGTGCTTGAAAGGCTCAAAGTTTAAAAGATAGCCTGCGTCGTGACAGCCACCGAAGATCAGGTGCCGACAGGTAGGATTGTCAATAAAGACGCGAAGCGTTTCTATTATTACGAGTCAGCGTGTGCGGCACCTGGCAGGAGTATGGCCAATGATACCCTTAATCTTGTGGTCGGCTCTTTCCTTGCCGTGACCCACGTCGACGATACTAAACAAAGGCTGATTTACATTGAAGTGCTGGACAAAACTTCGTAAGTCTGAAGGGGCACGTAGAAGGCCGACCGAGGCCAGCTTGATTGCGAGTTTATCGAGACTTAGATAAATCTGGACCACAATAGGCCAGTTGCTTGAGTTGTTGTACAGCGAGGCAATGTGGTCGCGAATCGCATGATACAAGCGAGAGGCGGCTTCGGAGCCGCCGTCAGCATCAGCAGCTTGGAGCAGAGCATTTTGAAACTATACAAAGAGTGTTAGCAGCTGCTTCAACAGGCAGAAACCAGTAGAACAACAGCCGGCGCTAGCATAAGTAGACGGTCTGTGGATGACTGCCGCTTTTGGTAAGAGGCGAAGTGTAGGCAGACCTCAGGCACATACTCGTTGACTCGAAGCAAGTGCCACAACAATAAAAAAGCCAATAGTAGGGGATTTACTTACAATGGCCCCATCTCCATCAATAAGTGCCAATACAAAGGAGCCGGCATCCTGTTTGGAACATGAGAAGGCAACTTGACTAGGCAAGGCTGACTTTGCAACGTACCAGCTGACGTTCGCAGTCGGCCACCAAGGCCAATTTCTCTTCAAGCGTCTTTTGATAGTTTCTCCGGTTATCTCTTTCACTCAAGTAGTCATTCTTCAAGTCGGCATACTGGTCGGACAAAGCCGCGTATTTGGCTACAAGCTCCTGTTTCTCGACGGTTAGTGAGGAAGGGCAAGGGTAGGGGACCGTGGACACGCGGCTGGGCAATGGCGCAACGCACGCTAACAAACTGTTCTCTCGCTTCGTCTGATGCGCGGAATCTTTGCATATGCTCCTTGAAGCTACTGTAGTGGATTGGGTCAGACATTCTGGCGCGCACCTAGTGGTCGATGGCGGTTCAGAATGGGGAAGGCAGCACTGTCTAGGCGGGCGTGCCTTGGGGGTGGGCGACAGTAACGGAAGGGGGACTAGGGTCTTCAGGCAGCCTCGCTTTGCTTGTTCGTGCTGCGGCCAACGCACAATCGGTTGCTCAGGAACAAGGCGCGGGGCAACAAACTCTCACGATGCCGGGCCGATGCAATGCTGGTGTTCGTGGGTGAGCGCAAGCGCCCGTCTATTGCCCAGGTGTGTGGTGTAACGTACCTCTCAGCATGGCGCAGTCATTTTCACGCATTAGGGTGGCTGCAGTGGGCCGGCCGTGAGCAGAGGCGTAGGCGAGTGTACTTGTTAGAGAGATGCTTGTCGTCCAACGCACTCGGCGACTCAGCAGAGACGGCTGTAGTGGCCTGCTGTCCTTCTGGTTGCCCCGCTGTAGTGATTGTTCTTCGTAATGCTAGTAAAACTGTCATGAGCCGATTGCTTGGGGTTTGCTCTCTACCAAGCACGAGGCCGAGGCCGCAGCAAGGAACTGGCTGCATCGACTGCCAACCGCTCGGGTTGCTGCTCATGGCGTAGAGTGTGGTGACCGCGGCCTGTACTTCCGCCATGTTTGCACGTGTGCCAAACGGCGTTCCGGTCTGGAACGGCGCATGCCGTCGTATTGTTCGCTTTCCTAGTATGTCCTCACCCACCAACCTTCCCCGCAATGACGCCAACTGCCTATCATGAAGCTCACCAGGAGCCACCAAGAGCCACCAGACTTGTAGCACCCCCCATCGCACGAGCAACTGAATGCTGCGCGTCCATCCTCGGCTTCTCCACCCTGTGCATAGCTTCCGACACATCCCCAAGCATCATCTTCAACCCTTTGTTCCTCTTCGCCGCCACGCATCCACAATGGCGACAGCCAAAAAAGCACGTACTCACCCACCCTACGAACTGCTGTACTGGCCAGGCATTCCTGGCCGCGGCGAGTTCATCCGACTGGCCTTTGAGGCAGCCGGTGTCTCTTACAAGGACCCCGCCAACGAGCCTGACGGACGTATGTATGCTCTGCAGCACCTCGCCTGCAATCCAGGCTAACCTTGTTTTGAAACAGCGGGTGCGCAAGTCGTCGCTTCCTTGATCAAGGATGCAGATGGCAACCCACCCGTCTTCGCCCCACCTGCGCTCAAGGTGCCTGGCGAAGGCAAGGATGGTGCGCCTCTGCTCATCTACCAGACCCCGGCCATCCTCTCATATCTCGGTGACAGGCTGGGCCTCGCCGGCGAAGACGAGGTGGACAAGATGACCGTCTTGTCCCACACCCTGACCGCCCTGGATCTCAACAACGAAGCCCACGACACGCACCACCCTGTGGCAGTGTCCAAGTACTACGAGGACCAAAAGGACGAGGCCCTCAAGAAAGCCACAGACTTTCGCGAGACCCGCATTCCAAAGTTCTTTTCTTTCTTTGAGCGCGTGCTGAAGGCCAATGAGGCCCAAGGACAGGGCAACTTCCTCGTTGGCAGCAAACTAACCTTTGCCGACACTACCCTCTGGCACGTCCTGAGCGGCCTCAAGTTCGCCTACCCCAATGAGCTCAAGGCTAGAGAGAAGGATTACCCTTTGCTGTTTGCTTCCTTTTACGATAATGTGGCGCGGGCAAAGGGGGTCAAGGAGTACCTCGAGAGTGACAGAAGACTGCCGTTTAGCATGGGAATCTTTAGATACTACCCGGAGCTTGACCGGTCTTAGACACACCATCACTGCCAAAGCACAGCCATCACACTAAAGAAATCAATTGCAGTGGTATCTTGAAGAGGCGCCCATTACAGGCTCATGTCATCTCATTCACATTCCTTTTTGATGCCGGTACATGATGCATATCCGAAGCCCTGCCGTACTCCTGAACCATGTAGATATAACGAGACCTTACCCAACAACCCGTCTACACTTAGTAGTCGGTCTGCTGGCTCTGGGGGAACTCGAAGTTGACACCCTTGCCAGTGAGGCGCTTGTAGACCTCGCTGTACGTGTCGAGCCTGTAGTCGACACCACCGCGCTCCTTCTCGTCGAGAACAACCTTGAGGATCTTGCTACCGTCCTCACGGGTACGGAGACGCTTGCCAACAATCTCGACAGGGTAGACAAGATCGGTCAGGATAGCGTCGTGGACAGCAGTGAGAGTTCGCGACTGGGGACGCTTCTGGGTCTGAGAAGTGCGCGAGCGGTTGGAACGCTTGGGGCGGGGGAGAATGCGGCGGGAAGCAACGATCAGGACGTGGCGGTCAGAGAACTTCTTCTCGAGCTCACGGGTGAGGCTGGATATCGTCAATACATGTTTCGGTAGAGCTTGTCGTGAAAAACATACCGCTGCTGGGCCTTGTGCCAGTTGGAGAGAAGAGGAACTGGGACGAAGATGACAATAGCCTTGCGTCCGTGGCCAACCTCGATCTAAGAATCCTGGTGTCAGCGTATTGTTGCTGCCCAGTGCCCACCGCCTCTTCAGATTGTAGGGTATGGGTGTAGGTGCGTGTACTGGCGACGCTCGAGAGCGCATCGTCGAAGGATTCGGGTCTATCATACCTCGCGAGCAGAGACAAACTGCAGAGGGCGCAGAGAAGCCTTCAGGTCAGGGACATTGTTCTCGAGGTCAGTCAACGCCTGTCGCATGTGTTAGCAATGCTGCCGCCAGTGCGCACAATTGAGCAGGGTCACTTGCGCTGGCGATGCTGGTCTCGATCTCAGAAGGGTTTTGCCTGGAAGGGCTGTTGGGCGCGATCTTGTTCAGCGAGTTGGCGGACATTTTGACGGCTTGATGTCTGGTCGGAGTCGTTGAAAGTTCGTGATGTCGACTCTTGATTTTCAGAGCAGGAGCGTGGGTTGCAAGCGAGGCGCTAGTCTACTTTAGCGCCAACTGCTGCCGGCGGAAGGAGCGATGCGACCAGACCCACACAGGCACCGCCAAGATACTCAGATTACGGTTGCTGCTTCAATTGATACTACATACTTGTTCCTTCAGCCTACACTACCTCTTGAGTTGTAACTCTACGTCGTGCAGAAGCCCCTTACAACGTTACCATGGTAGTCCCTGTCCCCTACTACTTAGACTTGTATATCGGAATCGCCCAATACAACATCCCATTCATTATCGCCGTCGTCATCGGTCCTACCCAATGAATGTAGTGGTAATCGAAGCGATCTAAAGCACTTTTAGCTAGAAGCAGTAGCAGCAAGAACTGAGACTACTCACTCGTTGCAACCATAAGACCAAGGCACCGCGCCGGATTGCATGCTGATGACTATGAGCTAACCTGGACTTCTCACGTAACAATAGAGTAGACCTACAAGCTCCACTGTATCCAGGCCGTACTATCGAGGAGACAAACGTGCACACAGTTTGTGTTAGACCAACCTTTTTACACTGTCAGCTTTGCGGTAACGCGCCACAAATGAATTTTAAGGGCACATACCAGGATTGGCGACAAAGCTGGCCCAAAGACTTCCCTCTGCCTAGGATCAAGGCCCACTCCAAAGGCAACAAAGATCAGCCCAAAGGACGTCATAGTCTCCAAAACATATCTGCACAGTCAGCGATTGGACCGAAAACATGAATTTCAAACTCACGCTTCGCCCGGTGTGACGAGATCAGTGTCAATATAGCATCCCGGTATAGGCGGAATATCATGTGGCCTCATCCCCAGGCTCGCCCGGACCAGAGCGCCAGCCACCACAGCCCCAGCACTCTGAAAAACAACATACAGCAGCGTCCTAGGAAAGATAGATAGCCCTGCCGTGAAAGTTGCCATGGATATTGTCGGGTTGAAATGCGCCCCGGATACCGGCCCAGCCCCAAAGATAAACAGCGCAATCAGCGTCCCAGTCACAATGCTCCCAAAAGCAGCCGGTGCAACGGATCCCAGTGCCGTTGCTGTAACAAGGGAACCGAGACCAACGGCAGCGAGGCCGGAGAGGTAGGTTTGCAGACATGTTCCCACGCCTTCGATGAATGATTCTTTCCATAGCTCTATGTCAGCGAATGCGCGTGGAGAAAACGACTGCCGCCATGAAAATACTGCTGCTGCGTCCGGAAGCAGGTCAACAGAGGCATCATCTGCTGGTACTGTAAACTCTTGGTTGCCGCCAATTCTCCCAGCAAACGGCCTCGAAGCTATAGCCAGATTCTTTGGCGATTTTTTCCTTTGACGCATCCCGGTATGCACTCGAGGAGCTTCAACGTCGGTCATTTTACTCGATTCCATTCCAGTTGCAGATTGGATGATAGAAGCGAAACTCTACTCCCTTTCATATTCTGCGTATAATGGACAGCCACTGCTTGAGATGCGGTCAAGGGGGATAAACAACGCTATCTCCGTTAGCTAACTAAGAAAGGTTTTTCATAATACCTGAGTAAGCAATAAAGTGTTTTTTTGCTTATGCGACACTTATGCGACTAGACAAAGTTGTGGTTTGACTGATGTGTAAGCTGCTGACTACGCTGGTCGAGGCCGCTAAGTGCAAGTGCACTGAGTCAACATCTCCAAGGCCCACTCGTGCTACGATACGTTGGCTGTGTATGAGAACATCTGGTGCGTATATCCGACATGGAGTAGTTTGAGAATTTTAGGATCTTGTTGCCGATTTAGTCTATTTTCATGGTGGATGTTGACACCACTTGCGCCAACAAAACAGATAAAAAGGAACAACCACCAAAACAAACATAGTATGTATGATTTCAAGGCAAGGCTGTAGTAATATCCCAAAGTGTGGAGACTGATTCCCAAAGACCAGTGTTTTTCGTACTAACATATACTTCACTACTCGTTGATCCAGAGATTTTACAAGGACCCCAACAGAAACACGACATACTGAGTGCGCTTTCTCACAAAAAGCATTCAAATGTTTAATAATAATATACCATTTCGGTTATACGTGTCATAGACTCATATTCTTAGAACGGCTCCGACAATTGATGGGACCAAACTCAACAGGAAACACGATAAGACGCCTCGCTGAACAGTAGATGACGAGTGCCGCTTTCATATCGACACATAGGTAGAGTTTCATACTCGAAAACAAGGTTGAGCAACAGAGTTCTGAAAAATGATAGTGTGCTGTTTTCCATCCCCATTCGGCCCTTTGGCAAGTACTCACTATACACCGTACAAGTGTATATATTCACCGCCATGAACGACCAATGGTCATCCAATGGACCGATTATACGCGGGAGGTTTTACTAGGATGATATTAGTATCTGCGATCTGGTTTGGCGGGCTGTAAACCAAAAAAAACTTACGCTGCTGCCGCGCGGCGTCTCAGGCGGAGCACCATAATAATGCCGAGGATGCCAGTTGCAAACCAGGCGATCAAGGACAAGAAAGAAAAGGCCTGGGCAGCACGCCATTGGCCGCAGGAATCCCCACGCCTGAATGACACATCGCCCCATGCCCATGGGCTACCACAGCCTGCGTCGTTGAACCAGTCGACGAGGACACCGAAGACGGCGGCCCAACCTGCAGTGAAGACTTTAAAAAAATCACTATCAGCATACCATTGAGATGTACCGAAAAGGGTAATAAGATCAACTTACTGAAGTCGGAAATAAATCCCTTCATAGCAAACGTCGTGGGAATAGCCCAGATAATAGCGAAGATGATGGAAAGAGACGACCAGACAAGAGCAAAGATGAGTCGACCAAGAGGGTCCCAGTCATCGTCTCTCCAGCGACCAGGACCCCAAGGGTCGCGACGGACACTACGGCCACGGGGCCCACGACCTGGGTTTTCAATCTTGTAGACAAAGTATGCTGTCAGGCCAAGAACAATGGCCGCAAAGACAAACTGCGAAACTCGCAGGATGAGCGAGATAATGCGTGAGAAAATCATGTTGGTAGGTAAGTTAGATGGGTCAAAGACCGGAGTTGGTAAGCGAAAAGATTGTAATGGGGGGAGGAGGGTTGTGTGGAGATTGCTGTTGATAGTTCTGGCGTTTCTTCTCACTTTGGGTACGGGTATACTTATATGTAATACGATCGTCTTCAACCTGCCTTGATTTTTTTTTTGGGAACGGAGAGGGCAACATGGTCAGACGTCAGCCACGTCCGTTGCGCAGGCTTCCGTGGGCACCGTGACCAAAACGCCCTCGTACTTACCATCACACGGGTTGTGTCCTCAGACTTCGTTTAGCCCCATGTAGAAACTCTTGGGGTGTCTTGGCGATGTGGCTATACTCCTGAGACTGTGACGATCGTTGGGTTTTTGGTAAAGTTCTTGGCGAGTGAGATCACTTGGGCTTTTTTCTCATTGGGCATATCTGACGCGACGCGTGGCGCAGGGTGTGAAACTTGGCATGCGTGTCGACAGTAAAGTACCTAAATTCTTACTTTATGATTGGCGATGCCTTTACAGGTAGAGTTTGGAAGCTGTGCTGAGAGCCCAAGTCTTGACCGGGTGCGTATCCGGTGTTGGCAGTTGTGTTGTACGTACTCGAGGGATTGCAAGATAGCCAAAGATTCACAGATTTGACCGACTTCAGTAAAGTTGCAAACTAACCACGAAAGGACTTGCAAGGGAATGGCAGTGTGCGATCTTCGTTGGAGATGTTGTTACGACCAAGTCAGTTGGAGAGAGCACTGGGCTAGTCGATCACAAATGCGACCAGGGCTTTTCTAGGCGCATGGTAACTAAGCCCCCTCACTTCCAACTTTAAGCATAACTGTGGCCGCCGAATCATCTTACTCGAAAGACACGAGCTTCCGCCGTAACCATGTCTATACCAGGGCTCTCAAGGAGCATCCCCTGTTCATGACGTCTGTTGAGAGAGATCTTGGAATGTCGTGTATCCAGTACCACAAGACGGATATGGTCCTTCCGACCCGCAGGGATGCGACGATGTTCCAAAAAAAGGACCGTTGTGGTCCCAAACAAGAAGTACTCTGCATAGAGGTATGATTGTTGTACAAGTATATCTTGAATGTGGGGCTACCCAAGAAGCGGTAGTCTTTACCCCCGCTACGAAGCGAGCACGTGCTAGTAATGAATACCTAAGCCACCCTGTCTCGGTCCGGGCAGGGTGGCTTTTTCCTTCTGCCACATCATCCATCATCCGGCTATATCAGAAACAGCATGATTCGCGGATATAAAGTCTTTTGTTGTTTCATATATCTGGTTTCTTGAGCCAATGAGGCATTTCTCTTGCCTTGTTCTTTGCATAAATCTTCGCCTGGACCCAGCCACGAAGTGCATAGCCTCGAAACAGAATGCAACTCTCTGATAAATTCCAAAAGACATGGTCGGCCATCATTCGGCTCAATTCGGGGGCCAGCAAGACAGGGAGTTCAGGGTCTCATCGCCCCAAGACTTACGTGGGTCCATCTATTGAGCTTGATCAAGGCGTACTCTAGATTTGTCATCACAGCAGCTGGCTTGTCATGTTCATTTCAACTTATAGTGTAGCAAGAACCCCAAAGTAATGCACTGTAGCTCTGAGCAGCTTCATCCACCGCAGCTTGGATCTGTTGAAAATACAGGTACGAACAAGTTCTTTATTTACCATTGGAAGAAAGATCGATGGAACCCAAATAAAACTATCTGCTTTGCTAGACCCTTATAACCCTGCCCCTGCAATCCCAAATCATTCTCAGTCTAGGCTAAACACCTCCACCCCCTTGTAAATGCGTGATTTTCCTTGTGCAGAGACAGGCATCCAACTTACCAAAGTAACCCATTAACACATCAGCACACCTACCCTCACCCATGTCGCGAAACCCACCGGACACTAAATCTCGAACAATCGAGCTCTCATCACCACTCGGCCACTTCCATTATCTTACTACATAACCTCAGAAATACTACACGGATCCTCTCACTTTGAGCTACAAGAAGTGAACACTAGAATGACAAAAAAAAACACAACTGCAAATACCACTAACTATATCACATATCTAACTACCGCTTACCAAGTCCCTTTCAACAGTACTTCATATGTTACTATGGCGAGATATCGTATCGAAATTATTTTGTGAATATGATAGCGCGTCTGCCTGAGCCATCATCTCCTATAGAGAGCATTGATCCAATATAAAGATCAAGTCCATCATTCGTGCTAGGAGTATGTTTCTACGCAAAAGGGCGGTGATGAAATGTTTTGCAGAAAGGGCTTTATGTAGCAAGTCATCCAAGTGCAGCCAGCAACGATTTTCCAGGGTACTAAGCTTCCAAAGTCCCTTCTTGCACGTAGATTGTTCCGGCCCAGGCTCTCGTGAGCAATTGTCACCCCGCGACGGGTTTTTTTGTCCCTATTCGCGGAAGAAGGACGCAAGAGCTCGAATCGCTGGAAGGCCTATGAGATCTATCTTGTTCATGATTGGTTGACAACTCCTGTGTTATACATACCTTTCGGTGCTCAATGTGCTTCTCCACATCCTTCAACTTGACAATTATCCCCTTGTACAAAAGATAGTTGAAATAAGAGTACTTCAACCAGGCGTGTCGTTCGATCAGTCAAGAAAAGATGCAGGACGACCATTACAAGCACCGCATACAACCAAGCAACATGCTAAACCGAGAAGACAATGTCTTGATTAGCCCTAATACACAGCATCCCCATCCCAAAACGCCATGCGATATGCAATGCAAATCCCACCTCTAATAACCTCTCCCTTCATCTCCCATTTCCCATGCGTATCCATACAAAACCCCGCACAAACCATCTCTACAAGCGCATCATAAAAAAAAACCCCTCGCCGACATGTATGATGTACACTCAACCCAACCACACCCACCAAAACAGCAATATGACAGCGGCAAAAAACCCCACCCAAGCCTTCCACCCAACCCCCGTTTTCTCCGCCATACGCAGCATACGCGTCATGGTCCCCCTAATCTTATACCTCGAGTTCTCAAACTGATCGTTCATTTTCTCCGCCAGGGATGTGGAATCGCGGATTTCGTCGCCGATAAGATGCGTCAACTAATTCGCTGTATTAGCCAAAACACTCTCTCCCTCTTTCTCACACACACAAAAAGGGACCAAAAAAAAGAAGGAGGTAATGGGACGAAGAGAAAAAGAAAAAACAATAACAACAACACATACATCCTTCAACATCTTCACCTTACTCGTCAACACACCCACATGTTCCTCATTCTGACTCTCCAACTCATCCAGCACAGCCGCCGAATACTGACCCCGCGAATTCGGCGTCGCACTCCGAAACACGGCATCGTCGCTCCGTCTACCCATGCCACCACCTAGACCGTATCCACCACCACTGCTGCTACCCCCAGGATACAAATTCCCATTGCCATGCCCGCTCGCGCTGCTACTACCACCACCAGGGTACGCGCCGAACCCCGGGCTCCCGTTTGGCGACGTAGGCGCAGTGTAGGCGTAGCCACCGCCGCCATAGGGCGAGGCGCGGGCTTTGTTTTTGGTTTTCGAGGGCGAGGCGCTGCGGTTGTACGAGGAGAAGAGGTCGTCGCGGGCGTCGTGGCGGCTGAAGCGGTTCGACATTGTGGGGGTTCCGCGCCGCAGTAGGGGCGTGTTGTTTGTTATTTTCTCCTTGTGTTGCACGCTCTCGCTCTTTCTCTCTCTTTCCCCCTTTTTATTTTATAATAGCTAGATGGTGTGTTTCAATGCCCCTTGTCCTTCGTATGCGGCCGTGCAGCCACCGATGTGTGTGTGTGTGTGTGTGTGCAGGTGTAGATATGTTCGAGGGCGCTATATACAGACCATGGGTTATGGTTCTGTTCAATGTGAAATTTGGGTCAAATTAGGCAATGGCGGTTCGCGCATCGGGCGTCGAGGACAGTTGTCGCGGTGGGTGGTGGGCAGTTTTCGGGGAATGGAGGATTGGAGGAAGGGATTCCCTCGGAGCTTAGGACGGCTTGGGTGGTGCTAACGCCGGTCCTGCCACGGTTTGGTTCCCCAAGATGTTTAGGAACACGTTGGCGACAATCCAATGGCTGCAAGTAGTCGCACGTGTTCGGTTATTCGAGTGGCGCAAGTGAGTAGGATGTCTCAGAACATCAGCATATCCAAAGGGTAGGCCAAGGCAGCAGTGCCTAGAATCACGGTCTCATCGTCATGAATGTCTTTAGCATTTCCAACCTAGGGTCGCTATCTAGATGCAAAACCCACAGTCTAGGAAACACACAGGGAATACAAGTGATAAAACCCCAAGCCCCCCCTCCAACTTATCTGTACAAGTACAAAGAATTCATCCGTTACATGTCTGCATTCTTCGTTCCAAAGCGTAAAGTGCAGGCTTTTATATAAGTGGCACCGAAACATGACGAGACATTGCAAGGATGCGCGTGTTTGATGGTCAGATGCAGGCATACTTCGTAACGCCACGTTGATCCATATCTCCCCAGTCCAGCACCGGAGCATTGGTCAAAAGGCAAGCGCAGATCTCTAGTTCTTGAGACCAATCTTGTTGAGCAGGCTGCCTGACTGTCCGCCAATCATGGCCTTGTTGTCAAAAACCTTGAGCAAGCTCTTCCATACCTGCCCAGGCTCTTGGCTTGCGTCGATGGGCTTCCAGATACCCGTCTTCTGGTAGTATGCGACGACTGGCGCAGTCTGGGCGTGGTAGGTTGCAAGACGCTTCTTGAGAGTTTCCGCATTGTCATCAGAGCGCTGGATGAGCGGCTCACCGGTAATGTCGTCGGTCATGGGCGACTTGGGTGGGTTGAAGATCTTGTGGTAAGAACGGCCAGATGCGGGGTGAACAAGGCGGCCGGTGATACGCGAGACGAGCAGACCGTCGTCGATTTGCAGTTCAACTGCGTGTTGGAGGGGCTTCTGGGTTGCGGCAAGCATGCCGTCGAGCTTCTCAGCTTGAGTGACTGTTCGTGGGAAACCGTCGAGAATGAAGCTGTTCACAATAACCTTAGTATACGCTCGTAATGGATGCTTCAATCGAGCATCAGGGCAAAACCTACCCCTTGGAGCACTCCTGGTTGGTCTCAAGCTCCGTCTTGATCATGTTGATCATGATCTCGTCGCTAACCAGGCCACCGGCATCCATAATCTTCTTTGCTTCCCGACCGAGGGCCGTCTTCGCTGCGACCTGCGCGCGCAGCATGTCTCCAGTGGCCTATATGGTGTTAGCGTCTCCGTCTCTCTTTGTGCCACGCAGAATCTGAAGCAGCAAATGATGAACAACTTACAAGATGGCATGCGCAGAACTTCTCCTTAATTCGCGGTGCTTGTGTGCCCTTGCCTATGCTCTGTGTAAGCCACATGCCACATTTTGACTATCCTCGGCACATCATCTCACCAGCACCCGGTGGTCCCATAAGGATCATCCTTATGCTTTCTTGCGATGAGGATTGTCCGCCATGGCCAGACAACTTGTTCTCCAGCTCAGCGATGCGCTTCTCGAGGCGGTTGACGGTGCTCTTGAGGTCATCGACCACGGTATCTGTTAAGGGTGCCATTGCGCCGGGTTGTGAAGAAAATTGTCGTGATGGAACGAAGGGAAAAGGAGGAGACGAGGAAGACGAGGAAGACGCGCGATCCGGAGAGAATTCAGCACGGCTAGTCGCGCAATGGCAATGGACAGTCGCAAGTATGGGTGAGGTGGAGTTCAAGGTCGCTCGTCGCTCGGTTGTTGGCAGGTCCAAGCTTCTGTACGGGAAAATGGTCCCTTCTGCCCGATCCTCGGTGCCGTCACATTCTCTTAGCCCTTGGCCGGGTGATGTCAGTCGGAAAACGTGACCATGTACCTAGGCCGACAGAGCTCGGCACAGTTTGAGCAGGAATATGCGCATGCTTTCATCATAGTAGCCCACTACACCATGCGCGATATCCGCTCACCCTGTGTCGCACTTGAGAGCCCGCCGCACCAGCGGACGGTGAACCTGCGGGGTCATCGGACAGCACACAAACAGCACAGGTTATAGTATCGCGGTATCAAGAGAAGAGAGCGGCATCACTATTTATATACGTTTGCGCATGCTTTTCAGTGCCCACGGCATTACTAGTATTCGCTGCCAAGTACCTTCTTCAGCCCCTTCATCTGCACCTCATATTTCTCCACTTTGCTCTGGCTAGTCATCAGCTTCGCCAACAAGTAGGTCACCCTCCCTGCGGTTTGTGCTGGCTGGTTCCTCAGCTGGCTCAGCAGCAGTAACTCATTTTCGCACTTCTCAATCGTTGCATTCTCAATCTTGGTCAGATGCGTCAAGATAGCCAAGTCTAGGCGGCTCTTGAGCACCTTGTCCTCGGTCAAACGCTTAAACGCCGGAAGATACACAGGCTTGCCAGGCCCAATGACGGAAGGTCTGCCATTTGCGCCAGAATCAATCGTGATGAGTTCTGCTTGTTCGAGAGCCCGAAGAACAGACTCGCCGCCTGTCTTGAGCATGTCGTCGATAAGAATCTCATTATATCGCAGAGACTCCTTTTGTGCAAGCTCCTTGATGAGGAACCAGGCCTGCTCAGCGTTCCAGTGTCGGTTTCCTTTCTCGTCTTCTGCGCCAAAGATGTACATTTTGAGGATTTCAGACGCCGACTGGTCAATGATCTCATGCACTGCTTTAGTGGGTGTCTCGCCAGTCTTAATGCGCCGTGACAGAAACTCTAGATCAGTAAGCCGCCCACCCAACAAGCCGATGCAGGTGTCAAGCTCTCCAAGATCGTTGCGATGCTCCGAGGGTAGTTTCTTAGGCGATCCGTCCTTTGGCATAGGGTCATCTTCGACATCTGCATCAAGGTGAGTTATTACAAAGCGCTTCGCTACTTCTGGACTGCAGTCCGAGAGCGAGATTTGGCGGAACATTCGATCGGGCAAAGCTTTGGACAGTGACTTGTTGTATGCAACATCGTTTGTCAGGAAGATTACGTGAGCAGTGTTTGTTGTGGTGAGTTGGGCTGCCCATTCTGCAATCTTGTCATAGACGATACCGCCTTCCTGGCTCTTATGCAGAAAGTTGTCAATTACAACCACAGGACGGCGTTCTGGGTGTGCCTCAAGCCATTCATCATCTGGAAGGTGCGCGTCCTTGTCGTTCTTGTGGCGAGCATCCAAAGCGATCTGTCTAAGAGCCAAAGTCGTAGTGTTCCAAATCTTACTGAGCTGAGAATCGAGAGTTTCGGAGAAGCCGGTCTTAACGCCTGTAGCACCTTGTGCAGCCATATCGATCATACCGCTGATGCTGTTCATCCAGCTAAACACGGGCCTATAGCCAACGGACAAAGCAGCAGCGTTGATGGTAGCGCTTTCTCCTCGGGCTTCTTGAATAGGTTTGCAGTCGATGACGAGTTTCACCTTCTTATCATGTAGTGCCTGATCCACCACTAGCTCACGCTTGCCAGAACCACGGGGGCCTCGTACGATGATGAAGGTATCAGCAGTCTCCATCAGCCAGGTCTGAATCTGCTCAATGTTGTCCTTTCGGTCGTCCCAAATAGCATCCATACCATCATCATCGTTGCGCTTCTTTCCTCCGTTGATGATGTCTGTAGCATAGCCTTTTATCCATTGATACAACTTGTTATCTTGTATATGAAAATTCCGTGTGATGTGAGCCTTGACAAAGAACGTCCGAATACTGTAGGTTTCTTGTTAGATTGGAGCAGGACTGAGTAGCAAGAAGACTTACGGATCAAAAACGACAGCAACAAAACCTGCAATAAGAGCAGCCACGATAGGTATGACGATACGCGGATGGTTGATTATCCAGTCTCTAATATAGCGGGGCTTGATCTTCTGCTCATATTTGAGTCTCAAGATTGTGCCTTTCTTTCCACCTCCCTCGGCTTCCGACATGAGGTATCCATGCATGCAGTTTCTGGCCATGATAGCTTTGCTTATACTAGTATAGTCCAGATAGGCAAACTTTGGAAGAATTTTTGAGTCTGGAGGTTGCATGACAATGTCACTCAACTTTCCGTAGGGCCTGAAGAACTGGAAGAGTTGCTCTTGGCTCAGTTCAGCTGCTTCAGTAGCAGGCGCTCCAGGTTCACCAGATACAAACTCAACTCGTAAACGAGTGGCAGGCAGACGCATCAGATCTTCCACCCAAGGTCTCCCCTTGACTGCTTTCGCATGCATTTGATTCCATGGGTTCCACCATGGCTTCACAGGCTCGTCTTCTAAGTACTGTTGCAAAGTCTTTTCGATCTCAGAGGTTGACGCACTTCCATCATGAGTAAACTTGACAAATGCCCCGCCTTCCCGCATCCGAGGGAGCACTTCGGTACCGGTAATTTGCAGATTCCGCTTGGCTTTTGCTCTTTCAATAACAGTTTTTGGATCTGTACCGGATGCAGTAGGACTAATCAGCCGATCTAAGATGCGCGGCATAGGAAGCCCCAGTATTTTGCGTATCTGGATAGGAAACACATTGTTAAAGAAGAGGATGCTCTCATTAGGGCCCGCACTGATGTGGCCAGTATTGTCCTCACCAGCCTGCAGGCCAGTGAGGTGTTGAGTTGAGCTCGAAGATGACTTGTATAAGCTTATCCTTGATGACCCCCATGTTGCCGCGACCCGTGGGGACACTGTCCTGATGGTTCGTTAGCACTCTTACAATGATCGCCTGCTACTAAGATCAAATTTATTCAACCTACCTTATTGGTCCATGCAATGGACGGCAGCCAGCATAATGCCAGCCTGAGCGAGGTAACATTATTGCAATTGAATTGTTACCAGGCCATGGCGAGATATGGCTCACAAAGAGGTTTGAGGGGTCGAGTAATGTTTGCTGCCTGCTGTTCCACCGAGGCTGAGAATGGAGGGCGCATGACGTCACCCACCGAACCTTGGCACCTCCACCGAAATATTGAAATGGCTGCCAACAAACGTCTATGAGCAGTCACGGTGTGAGCGGCGATTCAAAAACTACTGTCAACAATCTTGCCAGACGTTTACTGGGTTGCTTTGATTCTTTTATGGAGTTGGGCAGAGAGAAGCAATTGTCGAGCTTCTGTAGTTACCCCGCTATTACTTTACGCATCACCAAGTAAGGATATGATCAATGGCTGTATATTGAATGATTCGCCTATTTACACAAATTTTGGTAAAGAAGAATGTACAATTTAGGAAAACATCGTACACTGCAAGTGCCGCCCAGTTGACGCCGCATACTGAAAAGGTATCGTGCAGGTAACAAAAAGAACAATACTCAGACACTAATGAAACATGCAAAAATCATCCGCGAACCCGTAAAACCCCCTCTCTTATCGTAACCATTTTTATCGTAAACCTTATCATCGTACAAAGGTCATAACAATTACGTCATTGTCTAAGCGGCGACAGTAGTCAGCTTCTCTTGATGGCTGTGGCTAGCTTTCAGCATAGCCTCGTAGGGTGGACGCTGAACGATGCCACCAGTAACGGGCAGCGAAGAGCCGTATCCGTTCAGGAAGGAATCAACATCGCGAGCACATTGGCGGCCCTCGTTGATGCCCCAAACGATGAGTGACTGACCACGACGACAGTCACCAGCAGCAAAGACGCCGGGAAGGTTGGTGTTGTAGTGGCCCGGGGGTGTCTTGATGTTCTTGCGGCCATCAAGCTCGACAATATCACTCATGACGCGTTGCTCAGGGCCTAGGAAACCCATAGAGAGCAGAACGAGATCTGCAGGGAAGAACTGCTCACTGCCATCAACTTGCTTCATGTCCCAACCACCCGAAGAAGACTTGGTCCACGCAACGCGGATAGTGTTGATACCCTTGACCTTGCCATTGCCATCGTCAACGAATTCCTTGGACATGACACAGTATTCACGAGGATCCTTGCCCATGTGAGTCTTGACTTCGTTGTGGCCGTAATCAGTACGGAAGATACGGGGCCACTGAGGCCATGGGTTGTCGCGGGCACGCTCTGGCGGAGGCTGAGGCAGCAGCTCGAAGTTTACAACGGACTTGGCGCCATGGCGAACAGAGGTACCAATGCAGTCGTTACCGGTGTCACCACCACCAATGACAACAACGTGCTTGTCCTTGGCCGAGATGTAGGCGTTATCGGCCAGCTCAGAGTCGAGGAGAGACTTGGTGTTCTTGTGCAAGAACTGCATAGCGAAGTGAATACCTTCCAAGTTGCGGTTGGGGATGGGCAGGTCACGAGCTACGGTGGCACCTGTAGCAAATACAACTGCGTCAAAGTCCTTGCGCAGGCTCTCAAGGGTGGGGTGGCCTTCCTCTCCAACGGTAACACCGGTCTTGAAGTTGACGCCCTCGGCAGCCATGAAGTCAACACGACGCTGCACAACCTTCTTATCGAGCTTCATGTTGGGAATACCATACATGAGGAGACCGCCAACACGGTCAGCACGCTCAAAGACTGTGACAGTGTGGCCAGCCTTGTTGAGCTGGTCGGCACAGGCAAGACCAGCAGGACCGGAACCGATAATGGCAACGGTCTTGCCAGAGCGGACCTGAGGTGGTGTAGGGACCATCCAGCCCTTCTCGAAGCCACGGTCAATAATAGCGCATTCAATTGACTTGATGCCTACAGGATCCTCATTGATGCCAAGGACGCAAGCTCCCTCACATGGAGCAGGGCAAACGCGACCAGTGAACTCGGGGAAGTTGTTGGTCATGAGCAGACGGTTGAGAGCGTCACGCCACTGCGAACGGAAGACTAACTCATTC